GCTTTTTGTAAGGAATCATTCCTTCAAAAACATCTTCAGAACATAAAGAATCATTTGTTTGAGTTCCAATGGAACAAAATGTCTTCACTTTCACGATTTCAGAAGAATTTCTTTGAGATTCATATTCTGAAGTACCAGATTCGGAATGTAACTCATCTGAAACACATGGACCACTTGACTCCCCCTCAACAAGAACATCTGGAGTTAATTTTTCTTCAGAAACTTCAAGAACAACATGAACTTCTTCTTTTTCTTTTTCAGCTCTTTTCATCTTCAACATTTGTTTATTTTCTAGATCTAAATGTCCATAGATAATATGAAATTGTTCTACTATTCTCTCATTCTCTCTTAACTCACGGTAATTAATAAATGAGTATTTAGATATTTTCTTATCAACAAGAAGATTATACAACTCAGAATATCATTCAACATAGATCGACCGTTGATTTGAAACATGGCCACTTTGTTAACACCATAGATTGGTTTGGTAACCTTTAATCCAAGTTCTAAAATGGAGTTAAACAATAAATTTGTTTTATCCATTAGATCTTCAACAAAAGATAGAACTTCAAGAGAGAGAAAGTAGATCTGATAAGAGTTCTAGAGAGAGAAAGTGGATCTGAGAGGGTTTCTAGAGAGAGAAAACAGATCTGAGATGGATTTTAGAGAGATAAAGTAGATCTGAACACGAAAATTCAAATAAACACGAAATTTTTACTCTAACTCTCTTCCAGAACACGATTCAAGGACAAATCAAATGAAATAATGAGTAGAAGATAACAGATCTGAACAAGATTTTTCAATAAAAACGAGGTATAGACTTTTTCTTTTCAGAAAACTTACAAAACTAGAAGAACAAGGTGAGATTCAAGATAAAATATCGCCATAAACAAGATCGATTCTTGCAAAAATCGTTAAGATCTACAAGAACCTACTCTGATACCACTTATTGGGAATAAACCCGAGATGACGAATGCGGAATATCAAGAACAATGAAGAATCAATCACCATAATATGCAAGTAATCTGATAAAGGTTTTTGTGTGTATTGATTATCACATGAACGTATAGAGAAAAACCCTAATATGGTAAAAAGCTTACACCAAAAGTTAACCTAATGATTACTTATAGGGAACAATAAATATCTACCATAAATATAAAATAAATGCCTAATATAAAACCAATGCCTTAGAAGAGCTCGATTAAGAACTTCTACTATAAAGGCACCGTAGGGAATCATAAAATGATTAACCCTAAAAAGGCTTCCCTAAATAACCAAATATGCCATATCAGTTTCAATATCTCAAAATACTCAACACCTCTAGTGATCGGAGCTTCATCATCACTCTCTGTTCTGATGTTGAACGGACTAGAGGTAAAACCTCCAAAGTCGTCTTCATCATCACCATAAACAGTATCTGGATCGTCTTGGCGTAGAGGTGAGATGGGTGGTGTAGAATGACCAAGAGTAAAACCGGAAGAACCTACCCCTGCATCATATGCGTTGACAGAAACTGGAGGTTCTCTGGTGGTTGTGGTTGTGGTTGTTGTCGAATCTGTAAACAGTGGAGTAGATTTGTGAAAAAGTAGCTTGGGATTCCAAAACTCCCATAGTAGGACAAGGTGCGATGGTGATGGGAGTGGTAGTGGTAATAGGAGAGTGAAGAATAGTAAAACTTTGGAAGAAATCATCTAAAATTGGAACAGATGTTGGCATTTGAAAAGTTACCTCAGGATTAGATGTGACTGGCTGGGAAACCTGGGGGTGCAAAGTTGCAGCAGTATCATCACGTTCGAGGTGAACATCTTCTTGAACCGGAATGTTTGATACCGTGTTGGACTGCGAATTTTCATGGTCACTTGGCGTTGGAGTTCGTGGCTTGCGAGCCGCTCGCTTGACCTTCTTCTTCTTTGGTGTTTGGGCTGGTTCAGATGGACCAGCCTTCGCAGTTCTTTTCTTTCTACCTTTTTTTGGTTTGTCGACCTCCTCGAGAACCTTGTGAACAACATCCATTGTTGGTCGAAGACCTAATGCCGATAGCGTGTGATAGGTTCGCATAACTTCACTCGCTGCAGGAGCATTGCGAAGCATCGCCTCAGGGATAGAGCCGATGAATGTGAATTTCGAAGTATCAGCCAAGATGATGTTTGGTGGTGTGAAAAATCTGAATAGCGGCCATACTGGAACATTCTATGAATGGGATGTTGAGTCGATCAATAGCCCTTTGAACCACGAGAGTCCAGAAACGAGCACAGGAGATCTCGTTGTGTCGTGTAGTCGAAAGGGTACTCTGGACCAGTTGACCCCAAAGAACTGAACCATAGTCGAGGTTCACTCCTGAGTAAATGCCGTACATTATCGTCATAAATATCTTGCTTGCACAGTCTGAGTCGGTTACCCACTTAGAGAAGCTTTTGAAGAGAAGGGTAAAAATACCATTCCACAATGGTGGCAGATTTCGCTTCTTGAACTTAGAGACGGTGGTCAAAACCTCTATGTATCCCATTTGGTAAAACGTATCCAAGATTTCAGAGTTTGAGATGGATTCTGGGTCGATTAAATCACACCCTTGTGGAAGTCCTAGTAGGTAACAGAATCGTGACTTGGTGATGCGGGTTTTCTTGTCGTCGATTTCAAAAGTAATATGTTCTTCCCCTTATTGATAGCTTGCAGTCGAATACGTCTTGGATAGATGAACCAAGGGTACGATTTCTGATTTCGTTAGTGCAATGACCAGTGGGGAATATCGGAGGCACTCGATGAGCGGTTGAATAAAATCATCGTACTTGGCAGGATCAAGGTCCAGAATGAGATTCTGGTTAGCCTTGATGTTGAGAAGTGAGGATTGAGCCATTTGTTCTGCGACAGAAGGGGTTTCTAATGAAGCTGCCATGGATGATTGATGAAGGTGATGATGAACAGTAAAGAGAATAATCGCTGGGAGAATTTTGATTTCTTTTGAAAGTGGAAATGAATATTGAATCGTCAAAATCCTTTTATACCGTATAGTAAGAGAGAGAAATATGGCGGTTGGTTTCATCAAACACTAAAAAGCCACCTAAAAAAAAGCATGAGTGACAGCAGTGACGCATGTCAGGCGGCGTGGCAGCAGCGTCAGTTTCAAATTTTCACGCGCCCAAATCTTATCCTTTTAATATGCCGTTTCAGTTACGCCCTTTCATATCCAATTCAGATACGAACTTTCATAACTAATCGCCATCAATTGTTCAGCGAAACTGAAAGTAATCATGAGTACCATGAACCAGACTTTGGAAAATCACAAGGAGCTTCATGCGAGAGTATGCCAAATATAGAGAAATAAATCAACATTATTCTATAGGATTCTAGTGATGTTTGTTAGGACATGAAGCAAATGGATCTCGGGCAATGATCGCTTCCTTCGGAGTCAAGAGAGACTTTAAAGTGTCTGTGTGGTGTCCCGTTGAATTACGATCATTTGCTTTTCGAGAAACAGTGAAAGGCTTCTTTTCATTAAGCTTAAAGGGTGGCTTCATCTTCAACCAAACTACGAAACTTGACATAAGTCGGAACGTTCGGATGAAGTACTTGTCTTACTAGTGTATTCATAAGAACAAGTATGCTTTGGAATCATTTTAAGTGACTTGGATAAGTATAAAAATCTCAATAAAAATAAAAAATTCGATCTATTGGGAAGAAACGTCTTAGGTCTAGAACATTTCATTAAGATCGCACAAAAATAAAAAGAGATTTCAGAGTACAAACCATGAAGGTGGACATTTGTTAATTCCTTGGTGAATAAGCTAGAACAATAAAATTGTTCACCTTCAATTCGTATATATGAGTTGGATTTTGGGTTTCACTCAATTCGTGGTGATAACGAATTTAAGATCATTAACATAGAATTTTGCGTAACCATAAACCTCAGTGGTAATATCTGAGAGTCTCAGGGGTTACATTAATGAATGCGAAAGTGATGGCGAAGTAGTGGGAGGTGGTTCCAAAGAAATAAGGTACCTCTGCTATGCGAAAGTGACCAAGCAGTCAACTCTTAACTCAATACGAGAAGAGTAAGGTAGCTCATGACTTATGTGAATTAACAACCTAACTGGGAAGAAACTGTAAGTCCTTGTACTCGGATCTATCAAGGTACTAATGCAATAGTTTTATTAGTGCGGAATCTTAATCAAACATTGATACGAAACAAACAATGAAATATATTAAGAACACGTTTCAAATGAATGCACATAATTTTATTTGATAATCATCAAGTACATTCATTCACCCTCAGCCGTGAATAACTCGTGTTCTCCCAAAAACCCATTAGCCTCAAGTGACTATACACAGACCATATTTATATTAAAACCGATAACCTAAAGCCCAAACATAAGAGGCCCACCGAGAACCATATCATACATCCAACACGAAGCATAAACCATTAAATATAGCCCAACAATCTCCCATTTGGTTTATTGCTTTCTGTTCTCCTCAAGGTTTCTCTATGAGATGCACATCTACTTGATCAAATGCCCCTGCCCACAGCTTCTTGTCAATTATTGTAGCTACCATAGAGGTGAAAGCTTTCGCGACAGCTTCAAACAATTCATTCTCAACAATTATTTGAAAATTTGACAAGTGCGGATATCTTGTTCTCCAAACTTCAACAAATCTTTGGGATCAATAATGCAAAACATTTTTTTCTTCAGCTTGATTACCACAGTTGCAGTAGCCTCATCATAAACCCAGAATTGCATTGAATCCAAAGTGCCTTCAGGTAAGCGTTTGGGAAGAGGAATCCTTTTAGCTTGCTTTGTGGGTGGCCACATGACATTCACCATGGTTTTGTTTGTGCGAGGATCAATGACACCCTTGGACTTCTTGGTAAACGATGAAGCAGTCCTTAAACCTTCAAAGCTATTTTTCGCTTTAGTCTCAAGAAAATTCTTAAAAGACCAGGCCATGGTATCATTGGTTGGCTTGTGGAAGGGTGCGTGGATGAGTTCAGAAAGATCAACTTTTGTCTAGGACAAGAAGTCAACTTTCTTCTCATAGTATTCAATTCTTCCACTTTTCCGCTTCACGACCCACATCCTTTTATCAGCATCATACCCCCACATGATGATGCCAGAACGATCCCCATATTTATCTATAAACTTCTTTCCAGTTTCCCTGAAAAACATCTCAGGGTTATCACCTGGAGCATTTTGGTAAGAATGCTTCATCACCAGCATCTTCCCTTTCAGCTGCTCAACCCTAACTTGCTTCTCTCTTCTTTCTTGAGCAGAAGCAAGACCAGAAGATAAAAATGTATCAAGATAAGCATTCGGAGTAGGTCTTGTAGCTCTTTCACTTGAGGATGGAGAAGCTGGATTGGCAGGATCAGAACTAGAAGCAATGATCTTTTCTCCATCAGCGCTCAAAGGATGAAATTCATCACCAAACGTTTGAAATAGGCGTTGTTTCAAGTCAAAGAATAGAGCAATTAGACCACCAAGATTTTCTTGAAGTTCTAAGATCTTTGAAGTTTTATCGGAGTTCTCTCTCTCAAGATCACGGATACGAATGTCCTGCTTTCCAATAATCAAATCTTTTTTGACAGAGCTTTGTTCAAGATCAAAGACTCTGTTTTGAAGCAGAACCACATCAACCAATTCAGAGTCAAGCAGCTTGTTTTTTCCTTTAGAGAGGTCCAGCTCAGGTGTTTCAAAAGAGCTTCCAGAAGCTTGAGCTCCTTCCGAAGGTATGACATCTTCTTCAACAATCGGGCTTTCAAAATCTTGATCCATAGGAATGCATTCAGTGAACGGGCTTGACATTTCTTGAGTCACAAGAGTGGACTCAATGAATGGGCTTGGTATGTTTTGAGCCATAGAATTAGGCTCAATCGGTGTAGATTTCGTTAGAATAGAGTCTGTGATAAGCACTCCCGGCCTAGGATCTCTTCTTTTACACTTCCGTGGGAGTAAAGCGTGGGCGAAGTCTTCTAGATCACTTCCAGATGGAGTTTCAGTATCAACAGGAACTGTTTGGGGAGGCTTCCTTGTAGTTCGTTGAAGTTCTGCAATAAGTGCATCCATCTGTTCAGGGGTAGGTGATTAAGATTGCACCAATGTATCACCTTCCCTCTCAGTCACACTCGGAGGTGTAACAGATGCATCCTCTTCTGGGAATGAAATACTTTGCTGAATAAAATTTTCAAACTCATTTTCTGACAGTTCATTTCCTTGATCCTCTTGATCTTCTTCATCATCAGATACTTCAATCTCTTCAAAGGCAAATTGAAATTTTGGTTTGGACACCATGTGTTCCTCGGCAACCTCAACATTTATGGAACTACCAACAACAGTGTTTTCAACTTCAGCAAACTTTCCAAACTTAACCAACTCCTTTAACCCTTGATAGGCAACTTTGACAGCCTTTCTTAATTGCTTCATGAGTCCAAAAGTGTTGGGACCCAAAGCTTTCATATCCGAAGTATCATCCGACCTCTCAATTTGGGGATATTTCTCATTAAAGATCATTTGAAGGAACCTAGGGTACATCAAAAATAGGTCCTTTTTCTTTCCCATAAGGTTGCTCTTCATCTCTTAAAAATGAACTTTCAGAAGTTGTAATCGTAGTCCATAGCCAGAGCGACAATGGCTGAGGTTACAGTATGACTAATTTCATCAGAGCCCCCGTTTCTTCCAGAAATGCAAATCACAAAAGAGTGTGCCCGAAACCTCTAGTAAGGTGGCAGTAGCTTCTTGATGGTGGCAAGATAGGTTCCTTCATAACACATCTTTTCAAGAACCTCCTTAACTTGATCAGCAGAGTACTCAATTGGGAATGTAGATGCATCACCAAATTCAAGTACCACTCAGATAACTTGTTCAGAAACAATCACTTGTGTTCCTTTCACCATCGATTCAAATGTACCATCTCCATCTGCTCCCTACTTGTTGATCGAAGCATTTTTCCAGAACTCAGTAATCAGATCTCTATGGATGACTAGATGAGCATGAAGGGCTTGAGAAATCCTGCAGTTGTTCAAACCCACCATCATGGATTTGAATTCTTGATGAGCAGCAGTTGGATCCATGAGATATCCCACAATGTTTTGATAGTCTACAAATTTTAGTTGCTCTGCCATTTATCTGCACCAAACTAGCCAATTAAGAATTAATTTAAAATTATTAAATTGAGATTGAAATCTAATTTTGGTTAAAGTCAAAGTTTTAGTCGATTTCGGTCAAAGACAAGGTTTCAGTCATTTTTGGTTAAAGTCAAAATTTCAATCGATTTCGGTTAAAAAGAACGATTTTGGTCAAAGCTGCTCGATTTTGGTCAAAACTGCTCGATTTCGGTCAAAACACTTGTTAACCAAATGATTTCGGTCAAAGTTGGTTGATTTCGGCCGAGAACCCAGTTTTTGGTCAAGTCTTCATTTGATTTCGGTCGGATCCAATTTGAACCGAAAACCCAAAATCTTATCGGAACTTGTTCAAATACAGTTCTTCGAAAAACCTTGAGAAATTTAATCAAAAACCTGCAAATTCATGGAACTGAGTACACTAAAAACAACTTTAAACAATATTGCCATGATCAAAAATCCAAATAATACCTTATTCACCGAACAATTTTGCAACAAAACAACAAATGAGTAGGATTTTGCAGAAAACTCGAAGGAGTTAGGGAGAAAACGACGACGATGATGATGATGATGATGGCTGTTTGGGGTTCTTCGGTGAAAAACCCTAACCAGCCGAAAACTAAGTACATATATGACCAAAAACTCCTAGGCGGCCCACTTAATCCGATTTCGGCCCATGAAAATAACCCAAATTTTAATAAAAATGATTTCTTTCGATTTTACATTCCAAAAACCAAAAGGAAAATAAAAATTAAAATAAAATAAATTTTAACATATTAAACACATTTTTAATTATTTTTTATATTTTATATTTATATTTATTTTTATTTTATTTTATTATTTCTCCCCTAAATTTGTGCATAACAATGAAAATATGTACAAATTTAAATAAAAATAAAAATGTAATCCAGAACAAAAACTTTTTGGGATCAAACGTTATGGAGCAAATTAATGAGGTTTATCAGCACACACACGTTCATGAAAAACTCTGGTCAATCATTGATATTGTGATCCACTTTTATTTTTCAGGACAGATCATGAGTGATGATATAGAGCTACTATATTCCTAGATAGACCATTTTGTCTGACGTCGACCAGGGATATTGTTGTCTACTTAAATTTAGCCAGTAAAATTTACCAGTCAGCCTTTTAGTTATGGGTGCAGTTAGTGTTAGTGCACTAGAACATATTCCCCACTTCATGGCATACCCCTGTAATCAAGGAAATTTCTTCGAAATCCTTTACTTTTGGTGAGTAGTTAATCCTTGTGGAATTTATATGTTGTGTCCCAGGTCTGATCTACCGATCACACAGAGGGAAAAACATATGACTAACATAAAGAGTAGAATATTTGAGATTTGTGGGAGACAATATACTGACTTGAAAGCAGTGAACATCATCTGAGTGCATATGTTGTGCCCCAGGTCGAATCTTCCAATCACACAGAGGGGACAACATATGGCTGACTAAGATAGAAAGAATAACAATTTTAAACAGACCCAATTTATTAGAACCCCTCAGTCACTCCCCGTCAATACAAGAATTAAGGACACAAGTCCATACACCAATGAAGTGTTGAGCCACATATCTAGATGATAGTTAGCTTCAATTTATGTCAGAGGCCTCCTTGTCTATTTTACTGTTAAATCTATCCAAGTGTCGTATTGTCAGTCCAAATGAAGTTTTCTAAGTTCAAATAAGTCCACATTGTCTAGTCCATTAGTCTTAGTCCTTTATGCCTACCAACACATTGAACATAGAGTTTAGACAGTTCAGCTTTAGTACTTTACATGTTTTTCGTTTGCCCTTTATCACTAACCCATATCAGTTCCGAAAATATTGGCATGAACTTCATTTTCTAAAAGTAAAACAAAATGGAAGGGAATAAGACAATACTAAATAAAAGTGAAAAGAAATATTCGAAACGTATCATCTTAAGAAATCCCACAAGCATGAGCTTGGTTTTAGGAAAAATTAGGTTTTTGGACGATCGAAAATCAGCATTATTATCACATACTAAGAGAAGAGTCAGAAAATTCAAACTGTAATTCAGCAATTGAAGAAATTCTCATTTGTGATCTTTCCTTTTCCTTTCCCGCAAAGGACACATGCTCTCCATTAAAATTTTGAATGTCATGCAAAAGAGAGATGTCCCCTATCATGTGTCAGGATCAGCCACTATCAACATACCGAAGTCTGATGATATTCCTCCATAGCTGCTCCGGTACAGAGTGCGGGATTAATTGGTTTTAGGAACCCAGTCCATTTTGAAACTAGGTTGAGCTTTGTTATCTACGCATGACACGCGTTCCCAAGCCATATCCTGTTTATCAAACACATAAGATGAAGAGATGTTAGAATTTTTAGATGATTTGAGAGTGGAAACTTTTGGTACCCATCTGTAGTTAGGTTTAACCATTTTCTTGTTTACTCGGATGGATGCTTCAGCACTCGTTTTAGAGCTTGAGACCGATTGCTGAGATGACTTCAAACTTACCGATGTTGGTCTCAAATCAGATCTCTTGTCAGACATGACCTTTTTGTTCTTGAGCGTCTGATTTTTGGTCTTTTTAACATTCCAATCACCATTGATTGAACATGACCTTGAAGGATTTCTTGTGGAAGATCTCCCCCTTGGCACTTTCTGCCAACCTTTTTTATAGTAGGGAACATATGAACGATGTAGGCAATTTCTAGCAATGTGACCGGGAGTCCCACAGTTAAAAAGAAGTTTGTCTTTTCAAATAAATAAGATTGTGACTTGGTCCTTGTCCAAATGAAGTTTGTTTCAAAGACCTTCCACAAGCATAAGCACATTTATTAGACTGTTTAACAAATTTCTGTGCCTTGAATTTTTCAACAGTGGGATTATCATCATCACAAGTTTTTGAAGCATTTTTAGTAAAACTAGATTTATTTTTTTCTGCTCGAACCCATCTTGCACTGTTACTTTATCTGTACATGAAGTAGAAGCATTAGAATCATCCACATTAATACTCTAAGTTGGGTCGGATTGTTCAGTCTTGATTGAGGCAGTTACAGGGGGCTGGCCACATTAATACCCTAGACCCTCATCATGTTTGTCTTTCCACTTTAATTGTGTTTCTATCATTGACTCAAATTTCTCACTTAACACATCGAATTTCTTAAAATTAAATTCAGCATCCTTAAATTTAGCCTTTAATGCATCAAGTTCAGCAGTTAAGTTTGCAATTTTCTCCTTGGCAAAACGATAGTGAGCACAATTGGTGCTGTATTCTTCTTTTATCCTGCTTAAATATTTAGTTTGTGCTTCTAATTTTTCTTTAAGCGGTTTGTTTACTTTCTTGATTTCATATATTTCATTTTTAAGGTGAAAAATCTCTCTAACTAATAATTCATTTTGTTCACGGTATTTTTTTATTTTACTTTCACAGGATTGAGACCATGAGGCTTCATTAACCTCCTTGGTACTGTTATAAGAACTCATTATTTACCAACAAAAAGGAATCTCATTGATTGAGTTGATTTTGACCGAAAATCAAGATAAATACCCTTTGACCGAAAACACCAATAGTCAACACCCTGTTGACCGAGAACCTTGAAGGTCAACTGTTTGACCGAAAATAGTTTACCGAGAACAATATGTTGGCCGAGAACTCTTCCAAGCCGAGAACCCAATACCCTTTTGCCGATAACGTTATTCACCAGCCGCCGAAAACACTAGACCCTAACCGAAAACGAATTTTTTTTTATCGTGTTTCCTTATCCAATGAATTCCAAATTTGGTAAATTACCAAAAACAATTTCCCACGCAGTATCCTCCAAAATTAGTGAAGAACACCAAGAAAATGATGAACACGAAGAACAACAAAAATCCTTTTTCTTTCAACACCACCCAAAAACAACACAAACGAAATAATGTTTCGAAAGCAATTGATACCCAAAACAGCATTAAGTCGTTTTTTAAGGCTCTGATACCACTTGTAATTCCCTGTACTCAGATCTATCAAGGTACCAATGCAATCGTTTGATTAATGCGGAATCTTAATCAAACAACGATACGAAACAAACAATAAAATATATCAAGAACACGTTTCAAATGAATGCAAATAATTCTATTAGATAATCGTCAAGTACATTCAATCACCCTCAGCCATGAATAACTCGTGTTCTCCCAAAAATGCATTA